GTGGGCAGGTGGTGGCGGGGGTGGGGAGGAGAGCTGGCGGGCGAGGCGGCGGGAGCCGGTGGGCGGGATGCAGTGGCAGAAGCAGCGCAGCAAGGGTAGGGCCAGTGGGCCTGTCCGTGCCAAGGGCAGGGCCCAAGCAGACAGCCCCGAAGTGTGGCAGCGGCGGCCCGCGGCCTTACCGCCGGGGTCGGCGTAAGGGTTGGCGGGGCGCGGCGGCTGCAGAGGGGCGGTATACGCCGGCATGGGCGGCGGCGCGGCGTGCGCCGCGGCCGCGCCGCGCCCCCGCTTCTTGCCGCCGCCGCCCTTCTTGCCGCCGCCGCTGCCGCCGCCGCCCATGCGCTGCTGCAGCTGGGCCTGCTGCATCGCCAGCATCTGGGCCGGCATGACGGGGCGCAGCTGCCCCGCAAGCAGCTGCTGCTGCATCAGGCGCTGAGCCACGAGCTGCTGCGCCGCCAGCTGCATGCCGGGGTTGCCCAGCACATGCACGGGGATGCCGCTGCGGCAGCACAGCGGCGCGGGGAGGGCAGGCGGGAGTGGCCGGCTGGGTGCCGGCAGGGGTTGCGGCGGCACGGACGCATTGCCTGCAGACTGCTGTCCAAAATCAAAACTAAAAACATGCCATCCATGCTGCTGGTGCTGGCGCTGCTGATGCTGCTGGCCTGCACCCACCTGAGCTCGCTGAGGGTGTTGATGTTTTGGATGAGCTGGAACGGCATGCCCAGCGGCAGGCCCGCCTGCCCCGCCGCCGCCGGCCGGGCCTGCTGCATGTTGCTGGCAACAGCCTGCAGCGGGCAAGCGGATTCAACAATGGATGGAGTGCGTCGGTGGAGTGGCTACGGGGGTGCCACGGGGTCGCTGGGGCAACGCCTGGCGGAGCCGGGTGCAGGCAGCGGCGGCAGACGCGGAGGCACCTGCCCAGGGCAGCGCTCGTGGTGCTGCGGCGGCGATGCGGCAGCAGCTAGTCGGGGCCAGGGGTGCTCACCGCGGCTGCTGGACGCGGCTATAAGCGAAGCTCCCTGCAGCTCGGTGATCGCCCCCTGCAGCCTGAGACGGGTGTGCAAACCCCGCTGCCGCCCCGAGCTCACAGAGCGAGCGTGCCACAGGCGCGCGTTCGAAGCCCACAAGGCAGTTGCCAGCGCAGGCCAGTTTTGGCTGTATCGCAGAGATGACTGGAGCGCGGCAGCCCGGATAGGCGCCAACGGTGCACCGCCTGCTGAGGGCCACCGCCCTGGCCCCCATTGCAGTACCGAAAATGTACTTCGGGCGCCCTAGCAAGGTTTTGCGATAGCAAACCCAACGACTGCGCAGTGTGCAAACTCCCGCTTAATCTTCCAAGCCGATAACGCATCAGCAGTGCCGCACACGCTCTGTTCAGGAGGCATCAACCAAACTTGGCCCTTGGACCTTTGCAGAACGGCGCTAGCGAATTCCAGAAGCGCATATCGGTTTACCCCGTCGCCTGGCTGGTCGCACCGACAGCAGGCGGCCGCCATGAGCCCGCGCCTCGCCGCTACTGCGGCCTACTCACCGCCGGCTGTGCGCTCCTCCCTGGCACCCATACCAGCGCGCCGGCCTGCCGCTGCACCCAGGCTGCGCTGTGTGGCTGCAGCGACAGGGGCACCAGCGGGAAAGGAGGAGCGCCGAGTCGCTGACCCAGCCTCCACGCCGCACCAGAGCACCGCCACCGTACCCGACATGCCAAGCACCGTGGCCCCCAGCGGCGGCAGCAAGACACAACCGGCGGATGATCAGTTCAACTGGCAGCAGCAGTGGTACCCGCTGGCCCCTGTATCCTACCTGGACCGAGCCAAGCCCACTCCCTACACAGTGCTGGGAAGGCGCCTGGTTGTGTGGTGAGCGGAGCAGACTGCCTGAGGCCGGCCTGCAGACAAACGGAAGCGCTGGCTGGCTGGTGACTGGCTGTGCTGGCTGACAGTGGATCCGCCTGGCCGCAGCGTCCAAGCCTCCTACTTCGGTGTGCGCCACCCTCTCTGAGCCCAGCTCGTGGCCCCGCCCTTCCGCCGCAGGTACCATGCCCCCAGCCAGCAGTGGCGTGCTCTGGAGGATCGGTGGCCCCACCGGCTGGCGCCGTTGTCCGAAGGGCGCATCGAGCCCGCCAGCGGCAACCTGCAGTGCAGCTACCACGGCTGGCAGTTTGGCGGCGACGGCCGCTGCGCCAGCATCCCGCAGGCCGACTCGCCGCAGCAGGAGGCGACGGCCTGCGGCAGCCAGCGCAGCTGTGTGGCCGCCTTTCCTGTCAGGCAGGAGCAGGTGGGAGACTTGGAGGCCGCGGCCTGCCATGGCAGGTGGAAGGGAAGCAGGCACAGCCTTGCCCTGCACCCCAGCCAATCTTCCAAACCCTGTCCTGCCCCGCTGGCCGCAGGGGATGCTGTGGGTGTGGATGGAGGCCGGCCCCGGCGCCGCCGCCGCCAGCCAGCTGCGCCCGTTACCGCTGCCAGCCGAGCTGCTGTCGAGCGGCGGCGACGGCGCCACGCCCGCCGGCTCCCTGCTGGGTGGCTGGTGAGCTCCCTTTCATGAGGGGGGTGTTCCCAGGGCCGTAGAACACACGCACCGGCATGCCGTGGAAACTGTTTGCGCAAGTGTGCGCCTGCTGGATCTCCATGCTGCTGTCTTCGTACCGCCTTGGTACTGCAGGTACCAGCGCGAGCTGCCCCTGTCCGCCGAGTATTTGCTGGAGAATCTGCTGGACCCATCGCACATCCACTTTGCGCACTCGGGCGTCATCGGCAGCCCCAGCAGGTGCGCAGCATGCACAGCTTGCACAGCAGGGCGTCGTGCCTGACTGCGCTGGGATGATTCCCCCGGGCCTAGGCTCAGCATTGAACACAACAAGGCCTGTTCTTGCTGGCGTTGTTCAGTGCTGAGTTGTTGCATGCTTGCTTGTTGCGTGGATGTCGCAGGGCGGGCAGCATCCCCCTGCACTTGGCGGGGCCGCTCACCTCCCAGGGAGGCTTCCAGCTGCACATGGATCGGCAGTGGCAGGGCAGGGCGGGGCGGCAGGGAGGGCGGGGCCAGCAGCAAGCACGGGAGATCCCCGGGCTGGTCGATTTGGGAGAGGCCGCCCCGGCCGGCGGCAGCGGCAGCGTGCCGGCGGTCACCCGCTTTGTGCCTCCCGGCCTGGTGTGGTGAGTGCGGGCAGCCTAGCGGCTGGTCGGCAACGGCTGGCTGGCTGCGCATGGCTGGCTGTTGTCGCATGGGTGGGTGTCAGCCTGCATGCCTGTGCACCATGCCGTGCCAGCTGGCCCCGCCGGCCTCTCCGCACTCCTAGCACCACACCAGCACCCGCAAGCCTCCCTGCCTGCAGGCTGGAGTTCCCAGCAGGCGGCACCCGCTTCTCCATGCTCTTCTATGCTGTCCCAGTCAGGCGAGGCGCCGCGCCGGCCAGCCCGCCGCTTCCCAGCCACACGGCCCATCCTGCCGCAAGCCGCCTGAGCCTGCTGCTCTGACCTGCTGCGGCCTGTGCCCTCCTCCTCTACACCCGTTGCAGCCCCGGCACCAGCCGCGTCTTTACAGCCTACTCCGCCACCGGCCTGCCGCCCGTTCTGCAGTCGGCGCTGCGCTCGGGTGCGTGCGGTGCGGTGGTCATCACCCGAGGCGCCAGCCCCTGCTGCGCTGCTTGCACTTGGGTCCATCCCTGAGATCCCACGCACCCCATGGCCCCGCCTCCCCACCTCTCACCATCGCTCGTGGTACTGCCAGGCATCCCACGTAGCTCACCCCGATTCGGCCACGCACGTGCCCCTGCTCTGCGCCGCAGACGCGCTGGCCCCGCTGCTGCATGCTTTCCAGTTCCTGGCCGACCTGGGGGCCCACCAGGTGATCGACGGCGACGCAGTTCACATCCACCAGCAGGAGCGCACGGTGCGGCAGGAGGGTCGCCGCTCCTACTTCATGCCCGCGGCGGCCGACCGGTGAGCGGAGGGAGCGGCGGCGGCTGAAGCGGGGCATGCCTGAAGCCTGCCGGGGCTGCGCCTGCTTGCACAGCAGCTCTCTGACGGGGCTCGTCTCGTCGCTGTGTTGCAGGGGCGTGATGCTGCTGCACCGCTGGCTGGACGAGTATGCGGGTGGCGGGCCACAGTACTTTCCAGGACCGGGGGCCGCCAGTAGTGGAATGGTGAGCTGGCGCCGCCTGCCCTACCCGCCGTGCATCCCTGCCGCTCTGTGGCACTGCCGCTCATAGGCTTCGTGCCAGGTAAACCTGCCCCACCAGGCCTCAGCAAGGACTGCTACCATGCGTGCAGGGGGCTGCTGCCAGCAAGCCGCTGAGCCGACAGGAGGTTCTGGACCGCTACGAGCAGCATACCAAGCACTGCCCCTCGTGCCGCCAGGTATTGGCCCCGCTCGAGTAGAGCCGCTGCCGCTGCTGCCCGCCCGCCGCCTCGGAGCAGGCTGGCTAGGTCCCCCGGTGCTAAGACCCCTCATCTTTCCGCCCTCTGGTGCCCTGCAGGCGCTGTCTTCCGTGCGTTCCTTGCGGCAGGCGCTGCAGCTGGGGTCAGCCTCCTCTTTTGCCGCCGCCTTTGTCACGGCTGTCGCGCAGGCGCTGGCGCCGGGGCCGCGCCTGGTGCTGGCGCCGCCCGGCGCCCGCCTCAGCCTGCCTCTGGTGCTGGGCGTGGCTGGGCTGCTGGCGGGCGGGGCGC